CAGAAAAAGAACAAGAAGATACAAGTATACGAGGGCCATTTACGTGACAACAAAGACTCGGAACATGTCAGAACGAAGGAATACTTAAGAAGTTACCTCCAACTCAGCCCGGAGGAATTACAATCCATGAAGGACTCCCATAAGAAGTTCTTGCAAAAGATGCCTGATAAGTTCCCTGAGGGATTGGGTAACAGGTTCAGAGGTAGGGGTATACTGTACGTTGGTGGAGGCAAATACGACTGGCTTGTTCTACTCTCTTTGAAAATGCTCAGAGATTCCGGTTCCAAATTACCAGTTGAGGTTTTCATTCCAAAAGGTAATGAATTCTCATTTGACCTGTGTAACGTTGTGTATCCATTGTTGGGTGCGAAATGCATACTGATGCAAGATTACTTTTCTTCTCATAATTACAAATTCAAAAGTTACCAGCTGAAATCGATGGCCCTGTTGTTGACCTCCTTTGAAGAGGTTCTTTTCTTGGACTCTGATAACCTGCCAATCAAGAACCCAGATATATTGTTCTTCAATGAACCTTATAAATCCACTGGAATGGTGATCTGGCCAGATTTCTGGAGACGTTCTACGAGTCCAATGTACTACGATTTGGCAGATATCCAAGTCAATGAAACCCATCAAGTGAGATTCTCCTATGGTGACGAGCGTGACCATCCAACGCCTTTGAATACACACGAGGATTATGAGTGGAAAGTCTCTTACCACGATCTGGAAGGCACAATACCTGAAGCCTCATCAGAGGCTGGCCAGATGCTAATTAACAGAAGAACCCATGCTAGGGCTTTGTTTCTCTCTTTGTACTATAACTTCTACGGACCACAGTACTACTACGGATTGTTCACTCAAGGACAAGCCGGTGAGGGAGATAAAGAGACATTCATCGCAGCAGCTCATAGATTGGGACTTCCCTATTATCAAGTTCAGGAATATATCCGTGAATTCGGTGAATTTGTCGGAGACTCGATGCTCATTGCCACTATGGGACAGTATGATCCAATTTTAGATTACCTGCAGAACCAATCGTTCGAGAAGTACAAGGATGACGAATGGAACAACAACAAAGAAGGGAAAAAGTATCCAAGACATCTATTCAAGAACTCTGAGTTGATGTTTTTGCACTGCAATTGGCCAAAGCTATACCCATGGAATATCGAAGGACAAGGCCGTCGTAAAGTCTTAGATGACAACGGAAATCCGAAGAGACTTTATTCTGACGTCTTATCCGATGAGACCGGGTTTGATGCAGAGGCAAAGATCTGGAGTGCAATGCATTGGTTATTGTGCAAGTACGGTGCTCTCACTTTGAAAGGTACCGACAAGGATCCAGTCGAGTGGTGTAGTAAAGTATCAGCTCATTTGGAATGGCTACAAAGTTCCAGAGATGGAAGAGGAGGAGGAGCGCATACGGCCCAGACCTGATCCCTCTTGTGTATCTCTGATTGGCGTACATTTGTAACAATGGGCAATGTAACCATATGAACAGGCCAATAAGCTAATTTTTGCGAGAATGGTACTATGGTTATGAGCAGTATCAAAGTACTCACGACTCTGTTCTCAAAGCTTCACGAATTTGCTCTGATCTTATTTTGCTCGTCACAGCAGTCTCCGTCACAAGAACAAAACAGTAAAACACAGCATTACAACAATATATTCAACTCTGGTCCTTTTATATAATATATATATATATATATATTTTTGTATAGCTATGTGATAATTATTAGTAGAATGATACTAATATAAATAGCAAACCCCCTTCAAATCTCCTCAATGTATAACACAATGTAGCTCTTACATTAATTAAGAGGTATACAAAGCATGATCATGTTACCTACATTACTTTCTGAGATATAACCATTCATAGTTTGTATGGCATAATCAATAAAAACACACATAAATGTGCTTATATCTCAGCAACAAAACAAACATTAGGAGAACTGACGAGGAAAACAAAAGAACTTCATCATATATGCTGGCTTTGAGCTTGATTGGATCAATGGTTGTTTGAAGATAAATCACAACGTGTTGCATTATATATATAATGCAATTCTGATTCTTCGTTGCCCAAGCAATAGGAAAAATGTTAGGATGCTTCCAATTTCCACTGCATCGTCTACATTTTGAATTCTTATCAACACAAAATGACACAAAACAAATACAGCTTTCTACACAACGTTGAAAACATCACCAAACAATGGCCAGAAACTAAAGATTAAGCAAGTAAAAGAAGAATGGCTGGGTGACAACCAAAAAAAAACTCCAAAGGACGCTCATTGGAACCTTCCAACGACGTCCTCAGCTTGGTGAAGAAGCATCAGCGGCTAAGCCAGAACCTCAGCGGCAACTTCAAACGAATGGTGGTAATACACAACAGGAAGACTCTGCAGTTATTGAGACAGACAGACTGAGCTGGTATGAGAGCAAGGTATGGAACCAGGAAACCTTCAAGGTCTATCACAGAATACCCATGCAGAGATCACAGATTTAGTACAACAGCAGCCAATACCTGAACCTGAACTGGATAATGGAACTATGGCCGATAGAATAAGAGATAGACGAAGAAACGCAGCACAGGTAGCAGAAAGAGCGTTAGAAGAAATTAGACTTGATGGTGCCTTTGATTATGATTCCAACTTTGAATACATCATTGAGGATGACACCAACGGTTTTCATGAGAATGATAATCCAGTTTATGAACAACAACAATGGAGACCACGGAGACCACATAACTTGGGGTTAAATCCAGGTTGTGTTGAAAAGTGTGATTATTGCCATGCTCTCCTCATCGACACTGAGTTACCATCTTTTTGTTGTGACAGGGGCAAATTTTTGCTTGGTGAGATATTCAAAGAGCCTCCACAGTACACCTTGGATGTCTTATTGGATCCAATCACGTCCAAATATTCTCGAACAATTAATACCATTCTTGGGCTCCAAAAGTACTGGTGATTCGGGAGGTAGAACTTATTCAATGACCATCAACGGGAGTTTGTTCCATAGAGATGATGGCATGATAGCTCAAGAGAATGGACAAGAGAAGTTGGAAGAAATTTGTACACTAGCTCCTGGCTTAACTACAAATCGCTATCTCGAATTGCTCAGAGGTGTTCAAAACGATGAAGAATATAATAAACTTGAGGACTAAATTAGCAAAATTGGTGGATTTCTATATCAAAACAATCACTATGCACAGCTGTTATATACCGCTAGAGAAATCATTCAACAGAAAATTACAGAGATGGGATTAACAACAGAGGAGACTGTTGTTGAATTTGCCAATGTTGAACCAACAGCACCAACAGATTCAGAAGATCGTACTTCTCTATTACCAGAGGTTAAAGCGTTGCCTTGGTGCCCAGAAGCAATAACAGCAAAAAGTACTTCAAACTCAGTACGTATAAAGGAAAATTCTACAGGCGACTCCACTTTTATCACTACTATTTGCAAGAGAGTGTTTTTTACCCATGAGATTCCCTCTTTTAATTAATAAAAGATGAGACAAATCTTTTCCATACTAACAGAGCCCAGATTAGTATCATTCTAACATATTCACACCATATACACGCCTGCAACTACATATACGAAATCTTACGCTACAGTCTTAGGAAACTTATCTAAGCGTAGATTTCGTTAGTTTCAAAATCTTCATTTTATTAACGAGGGACCAAACATTAAAGTCGAAACCCGACGGACCGCGCAGCGCAAGTTGATCGCGAAGGTAGCGGTGATTTTAAATTTACCGGTGCGTTAGCGATGGACCAAATCGCGTTCACCGTACCAAAACACTACAGATCAACTTGCATCATATATATTCTTTATATAGTTCTGTGATAATTATTAGAATGTTACCAATAAAAATAGTCCTTTGCTTTCCAAACCCACATAAATTATACCACTCTGTAGCTTACCCTCTAACCAAGAGGTCCACCGAACATGAGCATGGAATCTTCAATATTCCATGAGATATGACCATTGCTAAATTGATCAAATTGGTCCAAAAGACGCTTGAATCTGTTTATATCCAAATGAAACAAAAGTAGAAGAAATTAACTGCTTTGCTATTGGCAAGAGATGATTAAACAGATCCTATCATTATCTACGATATTTACTGGAAGGACTCTCCATCTGCCATTAGTCAGAATCCCTCTACATACTTCTTATAGGAACACAATCTATTTACCCAACTCCCCACTATCACAGATACGCCAATACAACCACCAGATCCAAATTCCATTGTATGCTCGTTGTTGTTTGAACACTCACCAGGTCTGTGAGTCACTCTGCGTTGTGTACTATTAATATGTAGATACAGCACCAGAACAAACTCTACTATCAAAATTGAGCTTCAAGTGGCGCCTACTGGACATTCCATGGTGCTTTGTCAAAATTCTACAAATGACTCTGGAACTTCAGTATCTCAATTGTTAAATCTCTATCTATCTCAAGCGGACGAATCACACTCAGAGCGCCTAACACGCAGTTGTTCTACGGTTCCGCACAGCCATCATCGTCTTCATCTACGACCACTGGGTTGTATGCACTCAATATTGGTGTGTTGCTCCTACCAATCTACACTCAAGTGAACGTACTTCGCTCTTCTTTGTTTTGGCCTCTTCTACCAGAACTGTTTCGATAGTTATTGACAACAATGGAGGAGTCTGAGTCTTGAGGTCCCGATACTTGAGTTCTCAAGTTAGAAGACTGCTCCATAGATTGTTGATAGCTATCTGAACAGCACGGTAGAAGCAATGGCAGCCTACAACTACAAATGGAGAACCAATCCCGGTGGATACCGCACAACTGCATCTGTACGTAATCCCTCCAGGATGGCTCGGGTTGATATATGCGGACAATATCTAACTCTCTAACTCCAGGCACATCGATAGTCATTGGTGTCGCATTTGGGCTGAGGCTTCCATCACCAACAGCGGTCAAGACAACCACACTTGAGTTCAGACTGAGCTCATCTAACGAAAGCTGGACAGACTTCCCTCAGACAACCTTCAATCTGAACCAACCTCGTGTGATTGACAATCTCGCAGTCGACGACTTCTGACGGACTCGATGTCGTTACC